ACAGAGCCACGCAGTGACAGAGCCCAGGGTATGAAGATGGCCTCTACAAGTGGTTGAGGTGACCAGGAGGAAAGGACCCCGGAGGGTAACTCTGCTGGTCTTGAGGGTAGTCTGTGGGGGTGGGGCTGTGTTGGGGAGGGGCCAGTGGCTGGGGCTGGAGGACCCTGCAGCGCTCTGGAGCCCCCTCTTCACTCTGGAGGAAGGTGGAAGAAAAGGGTGGTCATGGACAGGACGGTAGGACAATGTTGAGTATCAAGCTGTTGGCACAAGGCCTGGTAGGCACTCAGTAGGACATAGAGCCAGAGTGGCAGCCCCTCTGCTTCTCTGCCTGGGGCTGTTAGACTTGTGGATCCCAGGGCCAGGGGTGCTCTATATTTGGAAGGATGTATAAACACAAAGCTACAATTGCCCAAGGCCAGAGATCTGGCTGAATTAAGGCCTGGGAGTAAGTTTCTAATATCCTTGCGGAGCCGGGGAAGAAGTGGAGCAGGCGGAGTGGTGGTGGTGGTGGTGGTAATAATCTCTTACATTGTAAAGTTTACAAGTATTTTCCCATCTTAGATCCCACCTGATCCTTAAGAAGTGCTTTGCAAAGGAGAGCACTGAGGCCCAGAAAGAGCAAGTGATTTTCCCAAGACCATACAGCCAGAAACATGGCTCTTTGGGCTCTAGGTCTTTTGTCCTTCCTTGGCCACTCTCTCACTCTTCTCTGGCCAGGGAAGTTCACTCTCAAGGAGCAAGCCAGGATGAGGCTTGTTAGCTGGGGCCAGACTGTTGCTGAGGCAGGAATCTTCAGTCCTCCCTCTTGCCACATACCTTGCTCCATAGTTCTCATTGTGAAGCTCTGAACCTTTCTTCTCTTCCTTCCTTCTCTCTTCTCCCTCCCTCATGCTGCAGTACATGCTGTGGAGAGTAAGTGGCCATGTCCCCCAGGGAGGCCAAGCCCCTACTTCTGGGGCAGCCTGCCCTACCAGGATTGGGGGGGAGGTTGGATGGGTCTGGGATTGGGTCTTCTCTGGCCTGGCTGCTGGTGACTGTAAATAGGACTGGGATGTATCTTCCTGAAGTATGGTTCCTTACAGGAGGGATTGAGGCTAGAGGGCAGGAATAACTAGTTCTGGAACAGTTGGTACAGGGTGCCCATGGGATTTCCTCTGGGGAGCTTTAAGGGTGGAGGCAGGGAAAGAATGTTAATGACATTCTCAGGTCCCACGTCACTTTGGGTTCAGTGATTTGCCATCAGCTCTTGTTAGTGAGAGCCGGTTTTGTTTTTGGAGATACAGGCAGGGCCATGGTGAAGTGAAGGCCTAGAGTTCCCTGTGAATGTCAGGGAGGAACCAGGGTCTGTTCTTACAACTCCTAAGGAGGGCATGGACTCTCTCACAGGCCCAAGGCTTGCCCTTTCTGGCTGTCCTTAATCAGAACCAGGCTGGAGAACAAATGAGGGGTCAGAGAAGAGCAGGTGGTTCGCAATGTAGGGGGAGGAATGAGGAGGCCTGAGCAAGGACTCTCAGGGAGGCCAGTGCCGCTCCTACTAATGACAACTTCTCCCTTCTCTCCTAGTCCATGACTTGCAGAGCTTTGGCCTTGACAATGTACGTACCAGATGGAAACCATGGAGGGCAGGTTGGGGTGAGAGGCTTGGTTGCTGCCTTCATTTCCTTGTAGGAATGTCCTGGGAGTGGGGAGTGCTTGTAGAAAAACATACCATATTCTGATAGGGGATCCAGCTTGAGGGTTAAGTGAGAGTGACTTTTGAACTGAGCTCTGAGCAGACTAGGGGCAAGGTTGGGGTTGGATAAAAGCATCCTAGATAGAGCCTCAGCACAAGGTCAGGTGGAAGCATGGCCCTTCTAAGGAATTGCTGCAGACCAGGTTTGGATGGGTGAGGCTGGAGAAGAAGGCAGGGACTAGACCACACAGGCCTCAGAGGCCACTCCTCGGAGTCGCCTCTTTCTCATGAGAACAGTGGAAAGCTGTCAGCCCTCTTTAAGCAGGGTCACAATGTGACCAAATTTGCATTTTTGAAAGATCCTTCTAGTGGCTGAGTTTGATACGCAGGGGAGCAGGAAAGGAGTACATCTGGGGTTTCGGGGCCTCCATGGCCTAGACCTCCAGGCAAACTACCACCTGCCACTCTGTGTGCCTAACATACAAGTGAAGCTGCTATTTTAAGAAATCTGGAATCTGACCAGGCGTGGTGGCTTACGCCTATAATCCCAGCACTTCAGGAGGCCAAGATGGGTGGATCATGAGGTCAGAAGTTCAAGACCAGCCTGACCAACATGGTGAAATCCTGTCTTGACTAAAAATTTTAAATTAGCTGGGTGTGGTGACACACACCTATAATCCCAGCTATTCAGGAGGCTGAGGCTGCAGTGAGCCAAGATCGTGCCATTGTACTCCAGCCTGGGCGACAGAGTGAGACTGTTTCAAAAAAACAAAATACAAAAATTGGCTGGGCATGGTGGTGTGCACCTGTAATCCCAGCTACTCGGGAGGCTGCGGCAGGAGAATTGCTTGAACTCAGGAGGTAGACGCTGCAGTGAGCCAAGATCACACCACTGCACTCTAGCCTGCGTGACAGAGTAAGACCCTGTCTCCAAAATAGAAAATCTGGAACCCCAGGAGTTTGCAGGCTGTGCAAGAGAGTTTCTAGGTAGGGAGTGGGGATACCTGTCTCAGGAGGTTAGCCCCTTATGGCCATAGCCTTCTTCCAGGCAGGACCTGCCTCCCCTTCCTCCCACATCTCTGCAGACAGACCCAGGGGTCCCTGTCTGCTGCTGTCATCAGAGCTTTGGATGGTGTTGTTTACAGATCAACATGACCCACTACATCCAGCACCTGTCATTTGGGGAGGACTATCCAGGCATTGTGAACCCCCTGGACCACACCAATGTCACTGCACCCCAAGGTACCAGCCTAGGAGGCAGCCCCCAGCTGCAGAAGATGTGCCGGGTACTCATGCCCAGTGCTTTGTTTTCCCCTCAGCTTCCATGATGTTCCAGTACTTTGTGAAGGTGGTGCCCACTGTGTACATGAAGGTGGATGGGGAGGTGAGTCTGGGAGCTCCCTACCAGAGTCTCCTATGTGGCGTCAAGCACTGGAGTTCCTGCATTTAGTTCTGTCAGTCTGGGGAGCGAAAGCTGCCTCGTCCTCACATGGTGGATAAAAGACTGAGGCACAGATAGGGTGGGGAATTTGCCCTCCCAGGTGGAGGGCAGGCTTGGGGCTGTGGGATTCAAAGCACCTGCTCTTTCTTCTGCCCCAACCACCTTCATTCATTCATCTGGTGCCCACCGTCTGCCTGCCCCACTGTCCCCTGTGGTCAGCTTGGGCTGAGGGTTAGGCAGGGCGAGCTTCTGTGTCCCCGTTCCCATGGCTGCTGTGGCCTGTGGAGCAGCATCTCAGCAGAGCGGCAGGATGCGAGGGGCTGAGGGCAGAGGAAGTCAGGTCAGCCCTGGTACAGCTTTGGAGAGCTGCTTCTGAGCCTGAACCCCCGCGAGAGCACCCGCCAAACGCCACCAGGATAGTAAACTAAAGAGCTGGCAACGGGAGGGGAAGAAGTCTGAGGCCAAGGCTAGGAGAGGGGATCTGGTAGACCAGGCCTTGCAGTGCTGGCCACCAGGAAAGGGGCAGGAGCAGGGGTGGGGCTAATTGTGGCTGGTGCCAGCTCGTAGCCCTGGCCTAGCCTCCCATCCCACCCCAGGTGCTGAGGACAAATCAGTTCTCTGTGACCAGGCATGAGAAGGTCGCCAATGGGCTGTTGGGTGACCAGGGCCTTCCCGGAGTCTTCGTCCTCTATGAGCTCTCGCCCATGATGGTGAAGCTGACAGAGAAGCACAGGTAAGAGTGGGGCAGAGCGGCCAGGGCCTGGGCCTGAGGGAGGAGGGTACCTGCTGAGCCCACCTGCTCCCTCCACCAGGTCCTTTACTCACTTCCTGACAGGCGTGTGCGCTATCATTGGGGGCATGTTCACAGGTAAGAGGCCCAGGGTGTCTGAACAGTGAGGTAGGGAAGGTAAGCCTGGGCACCTCAGGTTTGGTTGGGGGTGAAGGGGCAGATGCTGGCCTGGCCAGTTAAATGACCAGGCTCTCAGCATCAAAAGCCAAGGCCCCCACTGGGCCAGTGCCAGCCCTTGTTTCTCTCCCAGTGGCTGGACTCATCGATTCACTCATCTACCACTCAGCACGAGCCATCCAGAAGAAAATTGATCTAGGGAAGACAACGTAGTCATCCTCGGCCTCACCCTGTCTCCTCTTTTCCCCTGGCCTGTGGTTCTGTCCCCCAGCCTCTGCTATCCTCCTCGGTCAGTCCCAGCCCCAGGTTGATAAATCTATTGGTTGTGATAGTACTCACTGGTGTCCTTGTGATCCTTGGGGTGGCCAGAGCCTCATCATGGCCACTCATTGAAGGCAATTGCGACTGATGGATCAGGGCTCAGAGCCCTCGGGAGCCCCACATGAGCATCCCCTGGTTAACAGGGGTTTGTTCAAACCAGGCTCATGTCTAGCTCACAGCCCTGTCCTGGGTCCCTCAGATTCGGCCTCAAGATTCAGAAGGACCTTTTCAGGTTGAGCTTCTTGGAGCCACCATAGCTCCCAAGCTCATGAGTGACCAACCCCAGGCCACAAATTCAGGGCCCTGAGTGCAGGCTGGGGCTTGCCACCTCTTCATTGATTGGTAAAGCTGGGGCCACTCCCCGCCACCCTGGGCTCAGTCACCTGATCCTGTCACACTCACTGATCCCGCTCTGTGCCAAGCCCCACACTTGCTCTCACTGTAGAGAAGAGTCCCTCCAGGTCCTTTGCAGTCTTCTAGATGGAAGCAAAACTGAATATCAAGGCAGGAAGGTAGCAGTGGCCATTCTGGAGCAGGGCCAGCACCAGACCCTGGGCTTGGGGCCTAATCAGCGCTTCCCATTAGAAGCCTGGCTACATGTGGAGAACCAGGGCCCAGTGACCTTACCAGTCTACAGCCCAGAGAACCAGGAGTGGGTCCATCACCAGTCAGTTTATCAGATCATTTCTCGAATGTTGATGTAAGGGAAAAGCAAAGAGGGGAAAGGAAGCGAAGTCGGGTAATGACAGCAGAACCTCTGGAGTCAGACCCAAGATGCAGCTTTGATGTCAGCCTCTCTCAGGGATGGTGGTTAATGGGTCTGTCAAGTCCTTAGCTGTCCTAGAGCGGTGGAAGCTAGAAACAGATTAGGTGAGAGGGACCTGGCCGCTGGCAGGAGCAGGAGCAGTGGCAAAGGTGCTCAGAGGGTGTGAGAACTTGGCTGCCAGGGTCCTTTTCTTCCCTGTGGGGGATGGGGGCAGCCTTCTATCCCTGGGCATTCTTCAAGAAAGCCCCCAGCTTCTGAGGTCACCCAAGAACATCTGTTCTCTGCCACCTGGAGGAACCGGCCCTGGACAGCATGTGATCACAGGTCAGTGAAGGAAGTTTTGGGGCGGCTGTTGAGGCGAAGGGTGGTGTCAGAATGAGGAGAAAGCCCCTCGGCCACCCTGCCTCCCCTTGGCCCAGGCCGTGGCCCCTACCCCTGTGCCTGACTCACCTGGGCTTCTCCAGAGGCTCTGGCTCCTTCCGCCCCTTCCCCACTGGCCGTTTCTCTGCCTCCTCCACGGTCAGCAGCTCAAGCTCTGCCTCTACCTTGCCCTAAAAAAGACACCCCTGCATCATCAGGAGCAGAGAGCGGGCTCAGGCCCCAGCTCAGCCTGGCCTCTGTCCACATGTACCCACCATGAGGATGTATACATAGCCACCCGTGTCTGTGAACTCCAGGTCTTCTGGCCGGCCCTTCCTCCTCCTCCGCTTTCGCTTCTTGCCAGCCTGAGCTTCCTGCGCCTCCTGCTCCACGTCCTCTGCCTCCTGCAGCTTCACCACTGGCCCCACGCACCATGTCTGGTAGCTGTAACTCCAGGGATCCTGCAAGTCCAGAGCTCACCGGGTTAGGCCTGGGATCAAAGTCTCATTGGGCCAGGGGTGAGGAGCAACACACCAGGGTTGTAAGTTGGGGCATGGAAAGTTGCAGGGTGTGGTCATGCCACAGCTATGGGGCCACTCAAACCACAGCCCAGCAGTCCACCCCTTGCTACTTCCCAATGGAAGAGGGCTAAGGGCTGTGGAGTCAGCGGGTGACAAGCTAGGGTCAAATCAGAGTTGAACTAGGGACTTGGTGGGAATGGAGGTTATTGTGGTCTAGGCTTAATTAACTCAGTAATTAAACCAGAAAGCAAAGGTTCAGGCCTCCAGTCTAAAATCCCAAGATTCAAGGTTGGGTCAGAGTAGGGAACCAGGGGCCAGAGGCAAGAGCTGGAGGCAGGGGTTGAGGGTGGGGAAGGCTGAGCAGTGCAATACCAAGGAAGTAATTGGCGGAGATGCAGTCATAGTCCCAGGCCTGCAGGACCAGCACTGCCGGCTGCCGGAACTCTGCCTCCTCCAGGGCGAAGGGTCACCTCCCGCTCCGTGGGCAGGTAGTCAAAACGGAACACAAAGCGCCAATTGAAGTTCCCCTCCCCAGTCAGGGAGTTGAAGTGAACGTCTGTCTCCTGCTTGTCATGCTCCAGTTCCTTTACCCAGCTGGGCCCAAGGTGGATGAGCATCAGGACAGGAGCTACATCGAGAACCCACTCACCCAGCTCTCAGCATCACAGTGGGCCTGATGATGGGGCTCTGGACTCAGCCTGAGGGCCCACACTCATTTGCAGTCCCCGCTTAATGCACCACCCGCCCAGGCTGCAGGCCACCTCTTTACGTAGATGTCACTCGACATCTCTCCAGTGAGTGGATTCACGTCATCCAGCACCACATCTTCCGTGTTCCAGATGACAACTCTGAGCTCATAGCTGGGAGTGAGGGTGGGCACATTAGGAGGTGGCTTCAGACTCTCAAGAGGGGCCCTGGAAGGGGCTGCAGAAAGGAGGGTCCTGGGCCAGGGCCACTGACATTCACTGGGCACCAGCAGGGTAATTCGATGGCCTGTGATCCCTTGAAGGGACAGCCTCAGCTGTCACTGATCACCATAGCCACAGCAGATGGCACCAAGAATGGTCTGCTGGGCCAGCGAGGTTCTCCTTCCTATGAATTCGGAATCGGGACCCTGCACCATTGCATCAGACACAGCTAGTGCCACTATAAGCCAGAGTTTGGGGGTACAGAGAAGTGAGTGAACAGAAAGCCAGTCTGCAGGGAGAAGAGGGAGATGGGGGATGAAAGCGTATAGCCCCTGAAGGACAGGAGGGTGCAACATTCTGGGCCCTACCCTCATTCTGTCCTTGGCTGCCATTGGGTTGCCTGGATAGCCGTTTTCTCCAGCCCAGCATCTACTTCCCCTCATATGTTGACAGCACCATGATTTTATGCTGCTGATGCACCCCCTCCCCACCACCACCACAGTCAATCTATGGAATTCTGGTGGGGCAGGCCCCTCCCTCCCTGGCTGGGCAGGAGTAGAGGCATATCACTGGACTGGCCAACTTGAGTATTACAGGCCCCTGACCATGATGACTGGTTCAGAGTGCAGCATTTGACCCAAACTGGTCTACTGAGGCTTTTGCTGTAACTGGGAAAGATGTTTGTTTCTGCTCGAGTGGCCTGTCAAAGATGAAAGCCTCTCACTGTTAGACGCCACCTTGCCCCCAGAGTCAGAAAGTGACAGCCCCACACACAACTCAGCTCAGACGAGCTCAGGGTGGAAGGGGCTTACTGAAAGGTACATGGAATCAGTTTACAAGAGATACTCAACTCGCAATGGCTTAAGCATAAAAGGGAACTTAGTGACACCTAACTGAAAAGCCTGTGATCAGCAGCCTCTGTCTGCTTCGCTGGGGACCTGGGTTTTCAGAGGACCCTAGACCAAGATGTGCACCTGCCTTGGGAAGAGGGGACAGAACTCTCACCTGATTGGCTGCCGAGGCTTGATGTCAACTGGGGGTGGGGCAGGCACATCTCGAGGAAAGATGTCAATCCACATGTGAAGAGATCCCTGGGGAGACGGGACCAGGCTGGAGAGTCTTACCAGGCTCCCACCCTTCCCTGACAGCTCTGTGGCTACAGACTGTGTCTTGTCCCCAAGTGGAGAAAAGAGCTAGAGTCAAAATGACAGGGTCAGGCAGATCCTGGGAGATGAGGATAAAGATGTAGTCTGAAGTGTGGGTTCCAGGATCAAGGTTAGGTTAAGGGTTCAGGGATGAGGTTCTCAGCCCTATAATCCCAGCACTTTGGGAGTCTGTGGAGGGTAGATCACTTGAGTTCAGGAGTTTGGGCAACATGGCGGAACATGTCTCTACAAAAAATATTTAAGAATTAGCTGGGTATGGTGGTAGACTCCTGTAATCCCAGCTACTCGAGAGGCTGAGGTGGGAGGATCGCTTGAACCCTTAAGGTGGAGGTTGAAGTGAGCTGAGATTGTGCAACTGCATTCCAGCCTGGGCAACAGGGCAAGACCCCATCTCAAAAAAAAGATCCGGAAGGGGAAGTTGAGGTCTAGATCTTAGGGATCTGGGGGCAGGTCAGGTTGGGAACCCCAGATGTGAGCCTTGGTACCCAGGGGTAGGAATCATGGAGGACTAGGACTGGGGTGAGGGTGTGGTCCAGGATGGAGGTCCAAGATGAGTGGGACACAGGGACCAGCAATAGGAGCTGTAGTTAAGAGCTACAGGTGGCACCCAGGCAGACATCTTGGGGAAAGGCCGTCCTGGGGGCCCAGGGTCCAGGATCAGGTGGGCATCCTGGGATTCCAGGAGTCTTGTGATGCTGGGGCTGGGTGCCCTTCCTCACCTGCAGCAGCCCTGGGCTATGGGGATGGTAGAGAGGACGTATTTCTACATGCTCGGGTACCAGCTAGATCCCAAAATCCGGCATTTCCTGCCAGCGCCGCAGTACAAGCAATGCCTGGGCCTCTTCAGGGTCCCCACTCACCACCTTTAGGCCTCTGCTGCCTGAAACAAGAGGTATGTGAGCTTGGGTTCCACACAGGTTCCAGCTCTCCTCCCTCCCCCCTCCCCCTGCCCAGCCACAGAAACTCTAAGCTGGGGAAGCCACTGTGTTGGATAAAGTCCCGTGGACTAGGAAAGCAGGTCTGTAATGCACAAAAAGTGGGGATGCTGCTATAACTTTGCCCAGTGAAGAGCCAGCAGTCAGTGAGACAGCGGGACAGTGGGATTGGAGGTGTTGCCGCTTCTGCCTAGACCCTGTTTAGAAAATAAGCCACCAGAAAAACAAAAAAAGAAGAAAAAATTTAAAAAGAAAAAAAGAAGGTAAAAAAATAAGAAAAGCCACCAGGGCAGGCACAGTGGCTCATGCCTGTAATCCCAGCATGTTTGGAGGCCAGGATGGGAAGATCACTTGAGTCCAGAAGTTTGAGACCAGCTTGGGCAACATGGCGAAATCCCATCTCTACAAAAAAAAAAAAAAAAGAAACAGGTGGGCGTGATGGTGGGCCCTGTAATCTCAGCTACTCTCGGGGACTGAGGTGGGAGGATCGCTTGAGCCTGGGAGGTCCAGGTTGGGGGATCACACACTCACCAATAAAGACTTTTCTCCCTAACACCCAAGAACCTTGTCCTTACTCCACCAAATTCACCTCTGCTGAAGGAATGGGTTATTTTTGGGGGCACACAAGACTGGGCACCTGGGCCCCTTGTACCTTCGACCAACATCTTGCTTGAACAGAAAGGGGCTGGTACCTGGGGGCAGGGTCTCAGGTGGTGTCAGAAAGACTTTGCTGCCCACCTTGACAGCACCAGCTCGGTATTCAGGGGCGGGGAGGCCACAGCGTTGGCACAGCCCCGCCAGGATCTGCGAAAGCCGGAATGCATCACGCCAGGTATTGTAACCATCCCTGTAGGCAGAAAAGGAAGACGCGTCAGCTGGGGCTGGTGTAGGGACACAGCTGGGTCTAGGGGCAGGGATGATGTCATGAAGACATGAGGTCCAGGTTCAAAACTCCAATGGGAGACAGGTTAGTCCTCATTTATGATAATGATGAAAAAAAAAAAATGTAGGCCAGGTGCTTCTATTAAGAAGATACTGGGCCAGGCGCAGTGGCTTATGCCTGTAATCCCAGCACTTTGGGAGGTGGGAGGTAGGAAGGTCACAAGGTTGGGAGTTTGAGACCAGCCTGGCTAACATGGTGAAACCTTGTCTCTACTAAAAATATAAAAATAGCTGAGTGTGGTGGCAGGCACCTATAAACCCAGGTACGTGGAAGGCTGAGGCAGGAGAATCATTTGAACCTGGTAGGCAGAGGTTGCAGTGAGCCAAGATTGTGCCATTACATTCCAGCCTGGGCAACAGGGTGAGACTGTCTCAAAAAAAAAAAAAAGATACTGATCTTATTACCTCTGTTTTGCATATGAAAAAACAGACTCAAAGAGGTTAAGTGGGCCAGGCACAGTGGCTCACACCTATAATCCCAGCACTTTGGGAGGCAGAGATGGGTGGGTCACTTGAGGTCAGGCGTTTGAGACCAGGCTGGGCAACATGGTGAAACCCTGTCTCTACTAAAAATACAAAAATTAGCTGGGCATGGTGGCCCACACCTGTAATCCCAGCTAAGCTACTCAAGAGGCTGAGGTGGGAGAATCGCTTGAACCCAGGAGGCAGAGGTTGCAGTGAGCCAAGATCGCACCCCTGCACTCCAGCCTGGGTGACAGAGTGAGACTCCGTCTCAAAAAATAAGTAAAAAGGTCAAGTGACATTCATTACAAGATCCCAACTCCCAAGCCCAAGTCTTGACCACTGAGCTATGTCTTGGTTGGCAGTAGCAGGGATGGGAAGGTCGCCTTCCTTGAAATCATAGGATCTGGAGACAAAAGGGAATGTGAGCTTGAATGTATTTGGCCAGAAACTTAGAACAGCTCCTGTGGGCCCTGCTGGACTCACACGTCATACAGGGAGGCCAGCCCACAGTTTGCTCTGTGGTGGCTATAGAATCGATTTTCTAGATCAATGTGGGTCTCCCCGATGAGGTCGTCAGAACCCACGAGGTCATGATCAAATACGGCCACCGTCATCTCCGTCTCAGCTGGGAGAGAGATGCTTAACTCCAGGATCCTGGCAAGGAGGGAGAGGGGCTGAGGTCACTTCCATGCCCCAGGAAGTGGTCTGGGGAGGGGTGGGGTGTCAGCAGCTCCTGTCCATTTCCCTGCCATCCCTAGGCCAACAGCCACAAGGCCACAGGGCTGGATGGTCAAGTTGCTCCCCCAGCTACCCCATTCCCACCCCACAAGGCCCAGCCTCACTCTCCAAAGATGGGGTTGAGCTGCTTGGGGATATAATGCTCCTTGGTGTCCTGCCGCTCCTGGCCAGCGCTCACCACCACATAAGGGTCTGCTTTGCCGTTGGGGTCTGCAGGAGCCAGGTTGGTAGCCTAAGAGAACAGCATGGAGTGAAATTGAGAGAAATGTCATTATGATAACCCAGGGTTACCCTTGTCAGACCTAATTTCATATTGAGTGTAAGCAGGAAGTTATCAAGGAGAAATCTCCCACTATGAGGAGAAGTTGGACAGATGATTTTTATTTTCAATTAGTTATGAAATAGTTAAGACATACAGGCCGGGCGCGGTGGCTCAAGCCTGTAATCCCAGCACTTTGGGAGGCCGAGGCGGGTGGATCACGAGGTCAAGAGATCGAGACCATCCTGGTCAACATGGTGAAACCCTGTCTCTACCAAAAATACTAAAAATTAGCTAGGCATGGTGGCGTGTGCCTGTAATCCCAGCTACTCAGGAGGCTGAGGTAGGAGAATTGCCTGAACCCAGGAGGCGGAGGTTGCGGTGAGCCGAGATCGCGCCATTGCACTCCAGCCTGGGTAACAAGAGCGAAACTCCATCTAAAAAAAAAAAAGACATACAAATAGGTACAAAAGAAAAGTACAGGCCGGGCGCGGTGGCTCACGCCTGTAATCCCAGCACTTTGGGAGGCCGAGGTGGGTGGATCACAGGGTCAAGAGATCGAGACCATCCTGGTCAACATGGTGAAACCCCGTCTCTACCAAAAATACAAAAAATTAGCTGGGCATGGTGGCGCATGCCTGTAATCCCAGCTACTCAAGAGGCTGAGGCAGGAGAACTGCCTGAGCCCAGGAGGTGGAGGTTGCGGTGAGCCGAGATCGCGCCATTGCACTCCAGCCTGGGTAACCAGCAAAACTCCACCTCAAAAAAAAAAAAAAAAAAAGAAAAGTACAATGAAACAAAGTATTTTTAAAGATATATAAGGGACTTACTATTCAACTCATGACTTTCTATATGGTTTGCATTTGATTTTTTAAAATTTATTATTTCTTTCAAATAGAGATGGGATGGGGGTTTCACTATGCTGCCCAGGCTGGTCTCAAACTCCTGGCCTCAAGCAGTCCTCCTGCCTTGGTGTCCCAAAGTGCTGGGATTACCGACATGAGCCACCATGCCTGGCTTCCTTCATTGTTTGATAATCATTTTTCTTCTTTTAAATTATATCCTGTGTAGAGCCAGGCATGGTAGCTCACACTTATAATCCCAGCACTTTAGGAGGTTGAGGCAGGTGGATCACTTGCTGTGGTCAGGAGTTTGAGACCAGCCTGGCCACCATGGTGAAACTCTATCTCTACTAAACATACAAAAATTAGCCAGGGGTGGTGGTGTGCCTGTAATCTCAGCTACCCAGGAGGCTAAGGCAAGAGAATCACTTGAACTTGGGAGGCAAAGATTGCAGTGAGCTGAGATCATGCCACTGTACACTTGCCTGGGCGACAGAACCAGACCATCTCAAAAAAAAAAAAGAAAAAGAAAAAAAAATTATATCCTGTGTAGTTTCCCCACTCCCTACCCCACTTTTCTTTTTGTAGAGACAGGGGTCTTGCTATATTGCCCAGGCTGGTGCTGAACTCCTGGCCTCAAATGATTTTCCCACCTCAGCCTCCCAAAGGGCTGGAATTCCACAGTGTGGGCCACTACACCTCCAGCCCTGTGTAGTTTCTTGACTGAAAGTTGTTTGGTGATTAATTTTTTCAAGTGTTGTTTGCCTAAAGAGGTCTTCCATTTTTTCTCTTTCTTGAATGAGTATTTCCTAGGAAGGACACACAATTCAAGGGTGATAGTTATTTTTCTCTGGGTGCTTTGAATATATATATTTTTTTCTTTTTTTTTTTAGACGGAGTTTTGCTCTTGTTACCCAGGCTGGAGTGCAATGGCGCGATCTCGGCTCACCGCAACCTCCACCTCCTGGGTTCAGGCAATTCTCCTGCCTCAGCCTCCTGAGTAGCTGAGATTACAGGCACACGCCACCATGCCCAGCTAATTTTTTGTATTTTTTTTTTAGTAGAGACAGGGTTTCACCATGTTGACCAGGATGGTCTCGATCTCTTGACCATGTGATCCACCTGCCTCGGCCTCCCAAACTGCTGGGATTACAGGCTTGAGCCACTGCGCCCGGCATTATTTTTTTTTTTTAAGACGGGGTTTCACCATGTTGGTCAGGCTGGTCTTGAACTCCCAACCTCAGGTGATCCGACCACCCTGGCCTCCAAAGTGCTTGGATTACAGGCATGAGCCACCACGCCCAGCCAGAATATATTATTCTATTTTTCTTCCAGCACTTTTGGTTGCTGTAGAGAAGTTGATAAGCTGTCATTACGTTGTAATAATCTGTTTTCTTTCTGATTACCTTTTCATCTTTTTTATTTAGAGATTGGATCTCATTCTGTTGCCCAGTCTGGTCTTGAGAACTCCTGGCCTCAAGCAATCCTCCCACCTCAGCCTTCTGAGTAGTTGGGATTATAGGCATGAGCCACTGTGCCAACTTATCTTTTTGCTTTTTGATATTTACATTTTCCATAGCACTTATGCCTTTTTTTTTTTTTTCTTTTTGAGACAGAGTCTCACTCTGTTGCCCAGGTTGGAGTGCAGTGGCACAATATCAGCTCACTGCAACCTCTACCTCCCCAGTTCAAGCGATTCTCCTGCCTCAGCCTCCTGAGTTGCCAGGATTACAAGTATGTGCCACAAAACCCGGATAATTTTTGTATTATTAGTTGAGACAGAGTTTCACCATGCTGGCCAAGCTGGTTTCAAACTCCTGACCTCAGGCGACCCGCCTGCTTTGGCCTTCCAAAGTGCCGGGATTACAGGTATGAGCCACTGCACCAGGCTGCATTTATGCCTTTTTAGCCACTGTACATTTACTTATTTTGCTAATGTTTGTTTCTCCTACTAGAATGCAAGCTTCACAAAGGCAAAGCTTTTTTTTTCCCTCCTAGTGATTACATATTAATTTTCTTATTTGACATCTCTTTCCTCTCTTGTCCTGTCCAAATCCTAGTTAGGGATACTCAGTCAAGCCTTCATTTCCTGTTCCGGACAGCCTTGGTGTTTCACACCTATAATCCCAGCACTTTGGGAGGCTAAGACAGGCAGGAACTCGGGAGTTCGAGACCAGCTTGGGCAACATGGCGAAACCCTGTCTCTACTAAAAAATAGAAAAAATTAACTGGGCATGGTGGCATGCGCCTCTAATCCCAGCTATTTCAGGGGCTGAGGTGGGAAGATCGCTTGAGCCCAGGAAGTCAGGCTGCAGTGAGCCATGATCATGTCACTGCACCCCACCCTGGGCAACAGAGCAAGACCCTGTCTCAAAAAAAAAAAAAAAAAAAACCCACTAAAATTTACTACAAAGCTACAGTAATAAAGTAAAGTAAAAACCCAAAAATTTACTACAAAGCTACAGTAATAAAGGACTATGGTAGGGGCATAAACATAGATCAGTGGAACAGAATTGAGAGTCCAGTCAATCAATTTTCAATAGAGGTACTTAGACCATTCAATGGGAAAAGAGCCATCTCTTCAACAAATGGAACTGAGACAACTGGACAGTCACATGCGAAAGTATGAGATTAGACCCTCACCTCACACTGTATACAAAAACTAACCTCGAATGGATCACGGGCTTAAATGTGAGAGCCAAAACTACAAAACTCATAGCAGAAAACAAGCAAAAGTCATCATGACCTTTGATTTTGCAAAGGTTTCTTAGATATGACCAAAAAGCACAGTCAATAAAAGAAAAAAAAAAGATACGTTGGACTTCATTAAAACTAAAACCGTTTATGCTCCACAGGACACTCTCAACAGAGTGAAAAGACAACCTAGAAAGTGAAAGAAAGTATCTGCAAGCTATAAGAATCTGATACCAGAATATACAAAGAACTACAACTCAGCAACAAAACAACAATCAATCTAACTTTAAAATGGTCAAAGGACTTTGACACGTCTCCAAGAGACACAAAGGTCTAAAAAGCACATGAAGACTGTTCAGTGTCGTTAGCCACTAGGAAACAAAACCACAATGAGATACTAACTACTTCACACCCACTAAAATGACCTTAATTTTTTTTTTCTTTCTGAGATGGAGTCTTGCTCTTCTGTTGCCCAGGCTGGAGTGCAGTGGCACAATATCGGCTCACTGCAACCTCCAACACCCGGACTCAAGTGATTCTCCTGCCTCAGCCTCCCGAGCAGTTGGGATTACAGGTGCTTGCCACCACACCCAACTAATTTTTATATTTTTAGTAGACAAGTTTTCACCCTGTTGGTCAGGCTGGTCTCAAACTCCTGACCTCGTGATCCACCCACCTTGGCCTCCCAAAGTGCTGGGATTATAGGCATAAGCCACCACAGTGGGCTGAGCTTAATTTTTTTGAAACCACAATAAAGGCCAGGCACGGTGGCTCATGTCTGTAATCCCAGCACTTTGGGAGGCCAAGGCAGGCAGATTACAAGGTCAAGAGTTTGAGACCAGCCTGGTCAACAGGGTCAAACCCCATCTCTACTAAAAACACAAAACAAATAGCCACACATGGTGGCGTGCACCTGTAATCCCAGCTACTCTGGAGGCTGAGGCAGGAGAATTTCTTAAACCCAGGAGGCGGAGGTTGTGGTGAGCCGAGACCACACCACAGCACTCCGGCTTGGGCAACAGAGTGAGACTCTGTCTCAAAACACACACACACACACACACACACACAAAAAAAAAAAAAAACTGGTTGTGTGGTGAAGGGATTGGGAGGAGATTTGTGGATCTAATGAAGACACAGCTTAGACTACAGACTATATATATTTTACAGGGGAGAACCAAGGGGTAAGACAGCTGGGAGGAACTCTTCTGGAGTTAAAACAAATATCAAACACTAACCTCAGAAAGCATTCACTGGAAAGAGCCATCCTTTGATTAGATTGATTTGTAGAGGATTTTATGCTCCCAGGGTACTACTGCAAACGACTGAGCAATCAGTGAAGCTTCACAGGGTGTGGTCATAGAAAAGAATGCAGGAGGGCCCTATAGTACCAGTGCCATCCTCTGGTGACAGTGGCATGTCCAAAGCTGCACCTCAGAG